AGTTGCAACCTTTCAGAACAGTGGCGGGAATTTTTAAATATAACGGAATTTAAAACGGGTCACGCGCGCGAATCCGAGTCGGGCCGGGTTAACTAAAAAGTTGAAAACATTTCGGTTAATTTCTGTTATCAATTGATTAATTGAAAATAATTTTTGGACATTTAATTAATTAAATAAATAAATTTATCCAAAAAATTATCTCTCGATAGATCATTTGCCAAAGCCAAAGCCAAAGCCAAAGCCGAAGCCGAAGCGAGCGACGACGACGATGGCGCGAGGGGGGTCCCTCTTTCCAACCCTTTTAATAATTAATAGGAGTGTTTATTTATTTAAACTCTCCTATTTTCATTTCCATTACCGATGAGGGACTATTGCCTTTTTTATTAAAGCATTAGAGGACTTTTCAAGTTCCCAACCTTTCAAGTTCTAAACTTTTCAAATTCCTCTCCTTCCCTCTATTTCCCATCAATTCTTGCTACATACCCAACAATAACATTGTATCAAAACCATCTATCTTTGAAGTGAATGAAAATTGTGGGACACTGCCCACATAAAATCTAAAATATATAGAAAGACATAAAGGTTCGTCCTCTAAGCTATGAGGACTCACCACTTCTTCTCTTTTCGAAAGCCTTGGAAACTTTACCCTTCGAGCAACTCTATCTTCTCAAGACCCTATATGGACAACATGTAGGCAATACGTGTTAGTACTATATGTACTAAATATGAAAAATATCATACCAAACATAAGATATCTCAAAGGGTAAACAATAGACATAATTATAAGAGATAATAACATAATATAACATGAAATATCATAAGCATAATAAAGCATCATAAAACCTACTTAAGTTCATATTTAACTCATTTGTCTTTCTTACTCAATGAACTACATCACAAGCTACCTCCAAGTATACTTGTGCAAGGCTAAGGTAGCATCCCATAGTACTACCAAAGCTAAGTACCTCTCTTTGGTCATTCTTGATCATAATCTACTTTCATAATTAAGACCTAAGTTCTTCGTACTAAAGAGTACTATACCCTTGTGATCACCTTAAAACATGCTTGTGCAATGTACATAAGGCAGCTCATACTACCTCACAACTAAGCCTATATTGAAGTCATCCTTAACTTGTTCACCCTTCATCGCTTATCTTTACTTAACTTCATCTTTTAAGATTTTCTCATCTTTAGCCTACTATTCTAGGAAAGGCAACTCTAGTCCGCTCCTATCTTCAATCTCTTCTTCATTAGTGACCCTAGGTTATACCTTGTGAAATGCACTTAGATGCCCCATAAAACCATTGATGAAAGGTACAACTTTGGATCCTTTCTCTATTACTTCTTACTTTGGAGCCTAGCTCCTTTATTTATATTTTGAACACTATGAGATACTTCTTTAAGTATGTCTAAGTTCCTTAACTATATGGATCCTACGAGATACTTTTTAAGGTATGTCTTGATCCCTTAATAATCATGAACACTACTAGATACCCCTTGGACATGTCTAAGTTCATTCCCTCATTATGAACACTACGAGATACCCGCTTGGGCATGTCTAAGTTCATTCTTTGCTTTGAACACTACGAGATGCTTCTCAAGCACGTCTAAGTTCATATGATATGGAGATCTCTACTAGGATACCTTGACTCTATTACGTGAAACGACTCCCTCCTTATGAGACCTACTTGGATAGTCATCACAACTACTGGGTGTGACTCTCCTTTCTACTTGGAGTCCGGACCCTTGCACCCCCCATCAGTTTACTAAAAAGATCAAAATAAAAAGATCGAACTACCTATTCATTATTCGGAGGTGATCATAGAACACCAAAGGTTGTGGTATCTTATGGACTAGACCATCTGTCTCACTTGCATATCCACTTGGAGTCAAGCATATACTCCAAGGTTTTCTTGTCAAGCCTTTCACAACACTTCTTTCTCATGGAGGGATGTCCTAGACAATCTCTCAATGGTCAAGTGAATCTATCACTTTCATTCAATCATCCTAAATCTACAGCCAACACAACCATCCTAAGATTCATTATTTGTCAATCATTCTATCTTCATTCATAGGTAGATTATAGGATCTTCTAACCTTAGCTTTCTTTTCACATTCTTAATTACTAGGTGAATATAGCCACAATTCATTTTTAAGGTACAATTCAATCAAGAACAATCCTAATCCATCAGGTCTAATTCAATTCATACTTAGGTGATTTAATCATGATCAAGTAGTTTAGAATATAATGGAATTAAGAAGATCAATATAAAACCTTCATCTAGCCTCTAATGGCCTAAAATTGTCATGATCACCTTAAATTCAATTACTATAATTCACCATGGAAACATCATGAAAAAAAAATATAATCATCATATAAACATCATTGAATGCTACCGACTAGACTGGGTTCACAATCAAGCCTTACCCAAAATGCAATCACAATCCTCTCTAGAATGGGGTTCTTTGGATTCACAATTAAGGAAAACTAGGGGGGCTTCATGGATGGAAGAATCCAAAAATGAATAAGCTTCACATACAATAGATTAGAGAGTTAAACCCAGCTTGAACCTTGGTGAATTTGTCCTAGAAGCTGCTCCAATTTCTCTTCTTCTTCAATGGTGTTTTTGGGTGAATTTGGGAGAGATAGGGTTTTTCATTTCTTAATTTTTATTGGGTATTAGGGTTTTGACTTGGAAAATGGGTTATGTATGACTTATAACCGTTTTTAAACGACTTCTCAAGTACCCAAACTACCCCTATATCAATTGGACACTTTTAGACAAATCTAACTTGACTTAAATTTTTTGAATTATCGTCGGGAAACAAGTCCGCGACGCGGAGCTGCTCCCACGTGATTTTTGAAAATAAATTCCAGGACAGTGGAGTCCGCTTTATGTACGCGACGCACATCCAGAATTTGACTCTCCATGGACAAGGTCCCGCGACGCGAACATGCTCCCACCAAAAACAAAAGCTACTGCCTTGGGCAGCTTGCTAGCCCAAGGTTGGATCCTCCTCAAGGACCCCTAGGTCAGTCCTTGGGGAGTTGTGCCCGAATGCTTTTACCCTGAATACTCTCGTATACTTGTTAGGAACCTCCCGCATCAATTTGAACTCCAAACACTACATATAACCTCATGAAACATACTAAGGCACACTAGCACGTCTCAAGGCTAACTTTAAAACGTTAGCGGACGTTCTTGGACGTTTCACCTCCGAACTCTCTTAAACTTTACACACTGCCTTTAAACACTATTATTAGTCATTTTAGGACCTGGAAACTTCATGAGACTCATGTTAGACTCTAGCTACACCTAATTTATATTTGGGGTGTTACATAGACCTAATAAAGTCTTCATGTCAAATTATCTCAATGACATGTAGCATATTTTATGAATTTATAAAACTTGCATACTTTTTTTGTAGATATATACAAATCAGTATTAACGTAATTAGTATTATGAAAGAAGCTTAATAAATCAAAAATATACCATTAGCTTACCATTAATAAGTTTGTTAATTGCCAACTAAATGACATGACTTCAAAGAATCTTTCATGATAGAAACGTTCTTTTTGATGATTCCAAAAAATATAAAACTACTTCTTCAACTATTAGTTTACTCATCTTTTTAAAACAATCATATAACAAGTTATGTTGGTACATATAACGTACTATAATAACTTAAGATGTAATTGATTAGCTAGTGAAAGATAAACAAGTGTAAAACAATCAATGATGTTGGTCAAAGTTAATGTATGTCAACATAAGAAATTTTAATACCTTTTCTTTTTTTATCTTGATATGTATTCCTTATCAACTATATCTCTTTTAAAAGTAATTATGTATTACTAGGTGAAAACCACAACAAAGTATCAACCAAATTAAAAATTCATGTTATGCACTTTTATTCTTTTAGCGATTTCGGTGAATTCAATTCCTCCAACAAGTTTATCAAGTATGAACTAATTATCCTCTCGATATTTAGCTCAAAAATTCATGATAACTTTAACAATATACATTAGATACAACAAATTAGACTATCAAGTATAAAGACTTGTATAACAAAATATAATATACTATATACTATTTATATTCAGCTAATGCATTGTCAAATATATCCGTAGATGAAGAAACTCGTACTGATAAGACGTTATACATTAAGTATAACAATTAAAATAATAAGAAAGACGAGAAATAATATGTGTAGTATTTTCTTTCACTTACTCTTACTTTTTTCTTTGTTACTAAGTATAGAGATATAGATAGTTGTATACACTAGTGCCCAAAGTGTAATACATGGATATCATCTTGCCATGTGCATACTTTAGGCACCAACTATATCAAATGGCTAATTAATATACACCATATAGCATTTTGTGTGTGTATTAATCTTATACCATTAACATATTAGTGTGGACATCCAATTTACAATAGAGGGAATATAATATCTTAGTGAAAATTTTAGGCTATATTTGTAATGTGTCATTTTTATAATTATAAAAATGGGACACTTTAAAAGTGTGACCATATATGTAAATAGTTATTGTCAGTTATATCATACTTTAACAATGCTTATAAAGTGTTAAGTACTTGGATTACACATCCTTAAAATTATTTTAAATAACATTTTACAAGTGTTGTCCAAATTTAGTGTGGTCGTAGACCTAAGATGTTGTAGCGAGAATATTGTCCAGTTGCATAATGTGAGGTACAAGGTTGAAGTGTCCACAAGCTAGTTCGATACTACAATTATAAAATAAAATATTACCTAGATATATTGATAGGAGGTAAATGGTACTCGATAGAAAGGTGTGTGTCAGGTACTCATTTCTTTTATTTTGGTTTATGATTAATAAATGAACAATCAAATCAAACTGAGTTAACTTAATTTAATTTTAATGTAAAAAATATAATTTAATTAATTTGATATCAATTTTGATTAGTGTATCCAAATGGACACACCTAGTCCTAAGAGTGGTACATAAAAAAAAAATGGGGGTGGATTAGATTTTGGAGCAATAGCTAAGTCAGGTGTAGCCAGACGGATAGAATTGGGGAGGGTCGAGGGAGTTTTTGAGTGTCAAAGATGAAGACTCTTGTATTAGCTCCTTCACCTCTACGCACCTTTTCCCCATTTTCAAGCTTTCTTTACTCTAATCTCAACAACAATGCTACTCATAACTACCTTCTTTCTCCTTCTCCATCTAAATCCTTTTCCTCACTAACCTCAACTTCTCCTCTTCTCGCCATGGCTTCTCAGGTTGACTAAATTTTTTCCCCAGATTTAGTATTTTTTTTAATCAATTTTCAAATACTTGTATTGATCAATATTAATCTGAAGTTTCGTTTTTGTTTTGTTCAGAATGTATCATCTGGTGATGAGGTTGATATCTTTCAGTTGATTCAAGCTCATCAGGTGTAAAAATTATCTTTTAATGGTGTTTATGTTTAGCATAGAGGAATCAAACTCAGTTGAATGTATTGTGATTTTGAATTGTTTCAGGAGAAGGCTGCTAGGCTATCTCCTATTGAAGATGTTAGAACACTTCTTCATTATAGCCTCCGTGGCGTGCTTTCTACTTTCTCTCAGGTTCAACCTTTTATCACATATTTTCTTTTTTCTTTTTTACTTGGATTTGTTGTTATATGGGCTAGATGATCAATTTTGTATCTCCTATTCTCTTAATGTACCATTTTAATTAAATTATAAATTGGAAAAATTATAAGTAATTGATATTACATAGACTAACAAAAGAGGAGTAATTGATAGTACATAATACATATGCACAATGTAAGGGAGAGCATAGTTACATATTAGGAATGCATTTAGTATATCATCTTATCAAACAGTAAAAAAGGTATTCATATAGTGTATCATGGATCTCATTTGTGATTCCGGCACATTATTATCTTGAATAAGACTGACATGCTACAGCTAGATTGTTTCATATAATTATTGAAATGTTATGTTTATTGAGCACATAATTGATATACTTGAAGGAAGAACTGTTATTAATTACTATATGTACTTTGGGGAGAGGACAGAGATTTTTAAAGCAGATACTCCCTCTTAGTAGTACTTTTTGACCAAGGTTATGTAAATCCCTCTTTTTTTCTAGATAATATGGAAGGATTATTCAAATTGACCCAATTTTATGAAAGAAACATCCACTGTACTACCTGACAGTTGATGATTTGTCATACATACAGTCATACACTCTCTAGTATTATGCAGTGTAAGTAAATGAATGATGAACAAGTATCTGGAACCTACATGTTGTTACAATTTGATAGCCACAACTGTGATTCAAAGGGCATTCTTAACAGAAGTGTCGGTGCCTATCTTGGGCCCAATTATGAAATTTTCCTTTCTATCAAACTGTGTTAGGCATGAAACTTGAACATGTTTGGGGTATAATCTGAATGTTTTTCTTTATCTGTCATCTGAATGCTATTTACTTATTGCTCCATAGTTTTACAATTAACTGTGGATTCTTTATTGCAAGACGCCCTTGTTCCCACAATGTTTTTTATTGTTGCAGAAGTATGAGGGCTATCCTTCAGCTTCCATGGTAGATTTTGCATGCGATACGTATGGATCTCCAATATTAGCCGTTAGCAACTTGGCTGTTCACACCAAGGTTCATTTTGTCATCTCTGGTGGTTAAAGTTGTGCCTAAATTTTTGTATTTACCAAATTGGGATAATAGAAACTTCAGTTCTACAAATCTGTGTCCTTATTAAAGTTACTGATTTCAAAAACCAAAAAAAAATTACTGCTTTCAAAAAAATCTGTGTCCTTATTATGGGGTTTGTATTAGTTTGGATTTCAATTCAAAGGCTATTCAAGATAATTGTTTGAATTTGTTAAAAGAAAACAAAAGTGCTGACATCAATATTCACCTTCTTATGTCAATGTAGCGCTGATATCCTGAAAATGTTGTCTCTGTAGTATTCTTATTGTATTTGTATTTTTCAGAATTCGTTTAGCCCTTCCCTATCTTCATTTTCAGAACGTAGGTTTTGATATGAAACCTGGTGATTAGTGCAGGATCTCCTAGCTACTTCTAGGTGCTCATTGCTTGTTGCAAGAGATCCTGAAGATAGGACGGACTTAGTAATTACAGTGCATGGTGATGCTGTTCCTGTAAGTTGTCACTTTGAGAGAAATTTTTTTCCCTCCCCCCCCCCCCCCCCCGCCTCTCTCTATATCTATCTATCTATCTATCTATCTATTTATCTCCCTCCCTCCCAACTCCCTCCCCCTCTCTCCCTCCCTCTTCATTTGACGGGAAATATATGTCAGTTTGTTCTTTATTTTTCTGATTGATGTCATAGGTACCAGAAATAGAGAAAGAAGGTATTCGAGCCACATATTTGGCTAGGCATCCTACGGCATTTTGGGTAACTTGTTTCACCTCTTTCTATTCAGTGGCATCATGCATTTCACAATAGATATTCCTTCTTTTTTCCATCACATGTAATAACTGAATCTTTGTGAAGGTTGACTTTGGTGACTTCCACTTCATGCGCATTGAACCCAGAATTGTACGTTATGTAGTGGGCGTTGCAACTGCCATATTGGGATCTGGAGGTTCGTGTTGTGTGTTGACTACTGGAATTGCCTCCTTTTGTTATTACTGTCGCTCTCCCCTCCACATAACACTTCGCATTTTCCTCCTTCCCACACTTGATATTTGATTTTGGGCCTCTTATTTTGCTCCTTGCACCTTATGGGGTGAATAAGAGCAGGTAAAGCATACATCTGGCTTCTTGCTACTAAATTGTACAATCCCATTGATGAATCATATTAGATTTCAGGGTTCCACCAGCATAGTATTCGAGAAATTGAGAGCGTGACCACAATTGTGAACTGCTAGATCTGTCATTTATTTAGTTTCTCTCAATGCAATATTTGTACTTCTTTCTTGTACTAAATCCCTCTTTTAACTCCTCACAGAATTTAGCAAAGAGGAGTTTCGAACAGCTAAAGTAGATCCAATATACCAATTTTCAAGGCCAATCACGGTATAGAAATGCTGATGTTCTTTGTGTATGCTATGCTTTCTTCTTTTATGAATAAGAGTAGTTCTCTTATTGCTTTTACTTTTTGATCAGTCACATATGAATAAAGATCATATGGAGGACACCAAGCTGATTGTGCAGCACGCAACATCAGTTCCGGTACATTTCAGAACTTCTTTATATTGTTTCTGCAATGGTGCTTGTTCATGGATCTTGGAAATTTTGTTTTACCAGGGCTTTGAAATGCACAGATGCAAACTCATTTATCACGGGACAACCTGGGAATTATCTTTTATAGCAAAATACATATGTCCAAACTCATGCCTAATTAACAAATGACTAGAGCTAACACCCAAAAGATTTTTTTTTTTTTTAAAAAAGGATTGGAAATGCATGGGATGCAATAGTCCACCAAGGTGCTGATAACTTGTTTCTCCAGCAGCTGATAAATATAACATATAGCTGCCCCATGTATGATATGTCTGAGCTTTTGAGGATATGACACCGGGAAATGATGCATGATTTTTATCTGCTTCTGGCAGTCCATTTACATTTAATATTACTGTCAATTAGTTATAGTTAATTTAGTTTTACTGGACATGGAGTGCAAGGTGTTATCTCCTCCCAAAGTAAAAAGCTGCATTGACTTTCTTTTGTTCAGGTTGACTTTGCGTACATGTTGGATATAGACAGTCTTGGTTTTAATGTCAAGGTGAGGCTGCTATTCCATCTCCATTGTTGTTGATTCATGTCTGTTGTAACTTTTTCTATAATTATTTTATCACTTAGATATACCTAGTGGAGAAATATGCACTTGTGACATTCTGTGAGTTTGTCTACTTCAAAATATGTAACTTGCTAGTAACCTTTTTTAAGGAAATTGGCAGTTATGCCAAGAAATGCCTAGTTGAGAAGTGAACAGAAATATTTTCTCTTGTTCAGCTATGACAAGTGCTTTTTTCTTTCAAGCTTGGCATGGACTATATACTTGCACTTTGATTTTAATTTCAGGCTTGCTACAAGGACACTGATTTGAAGCTTCGAGTTCCATTCCCTAGACGTGCTGTAGACAGAAAGTAAGTTTTCAAAGTTCTATCGCAATTCTTTTATAGGAGTTTACAATTCACGTTGATCTCCTTTTTTTGCTTCCTTTACTCTTCCCATTTTCTGATGCAATGTCTGTTTTATTATATGCTGTTTTTTCTCTTGTTTTCTTTTGGGTTGTGTCTGGCTTAAGATCTAATGTCTTTACTAGTGTGTTCTGGATGGAAAGAATTTTTTGAGTACACACGTAGGATCATGTTCAACTGATTTCTAACGAAAACAGCTGGTAATGTGGAACGAACAAAATTATATTCAACTGATAAGGGAGAAATTACAAGGTAACAATTCTCAACATAGAAACCGGAGAAAAAGATAGACGAAATGAGATAATAGAAAAGGGAGACTGACTCCGAATTGCTAAAACTTTAGCTAAGAAAATAAAGATGCAAGTTCTTCCATGTCCTATTCTAGAGCTCCTGTGCTGTTTATATAGGAGGGTCTTGCTCTGGGTATTTCTTGGCAGCTGGTGCCACATATGGTACGGTATTGGCAGGGGTTGTGATCCTTTCTTGTCTTTTGGGACCACATACTCATCCAGGTATTTTGGGGATTTCTTGTCCTTGTTGTTGTGCCTCAGTGTACCCAAGTGTTCCTGCAGGCTTGTTACACTGCTGCCCCCATGAAGACGGACCTTGTTCTCAAGGTTCAAGTCAGAAAACGATCTGTGAGTGCAGGAAGGTCCTCCCAGGTGGCCTCATTCAGAGGCAAGCCCTGCCATTGACCAGGAACTGGATGATCTGATGTCCTCACTTTGTGACAATAAGCTGCTCCAAAATGTCTTCAGGTGTGAGCATCAAAGAGGAGTCTTCTCTATAAGATCAAGGGGGTAACCTGTTGATTAGGGTTCCCTAAACACTTCTGCAGAACCAAAACATGAAAGACGGGGTTGTATTTTGGAGAAAGATTGGAGGTCCAGTTTGTAACCTCACCCACACGATGGAGGACCCTAGCTGGCCCGAAGAACCTTCAACTGAGTTTGGTTTGCCACTGAAAGCGAAGAGAGAGCTGCCTGTAGGGATGTAATCGAACATACACTCAATCTCCAATCTGAGGCTTACGTCTTGCGTCCCTTGTCTGCATTCTGGTTCATACGTTCCTGGGCAGCCTGCAAACTGGACTTCAAGAGGGCCAATGTTTCATCTTGGCGACAAAGGGACTCTGCAGCATTTGGATTAAACGTGTGATTTATGATGTATCGAGCTACTGTTGGGGGAGGCCGACCATAAACAATCTCAAAAGGAGTAAGCTAAAAGCTATGTTGGTATAATGTTGTATCGAAACTCACCCCCGAAAGTAGATGGAACCAAGTAGTAGGGACATCCGCAGCAAAACATCGAATAAAAATCTCAAAGACACTTGTTGAGATCCTCTGGATTTCCATTCGATTGCGGATGATAAGCAGCTCTTAGCTAATTAGGTCCCTTCAGTCAATTGATCTCAGCCCAAAAATCAGACAAGAAAATAGGTTCGTGGCCTGTAACAATTGAGAAAGGAAACCCATGTAATGAGATGTATTCTTGGACAAACACTTCCACAAACTTTTTTTAAAAAATGAAGTAAACACTTCCATGAACTTGTGACTAGTGAATTTCGGAGGGAAGGCAATGAAATGGCTATGTTTTGACAATCTGTCCACGGTTAATAGAATGATTGCGTCCCTGAGATGGTGGGAGACCAGTGACCAAATCCATATAAATATCCTCAAAAATTGCAGCTGGTATAGGAAGTAGAAGAAGAAATCCAGCAGGTTTCAAACATGTAGCCTTCATTTGCTGGCATATCTAGCAATAAGGTTAAACTGCTTGACATCCTTGCTCATACCTGCCCAATGAAAATTGGATGAGAGGCGTTGAAAAGACCTCATAATACCAGCATGACCTCCAATTTTAGAAGAATTTCATTCTTCCAAGAGCAAATGTTTTAGAGCTGGATTGTGGGGATAAGCAAATGCTCACGAAAAAAGAAGCAGGCCTTCCTGAAAGGTGAAGTGAAAGTGAAGCTACAGGAGCAAATGAAGGGTGAAAGAGTTGGGGTTGATTAGTGGTGCAATGTCTGGTGGGTTGGGTAAGAGAGAAATTATATTTTGTGATAGGAGGGGCAGGTTGGGTTTTTTTAACTTGGGCCAATAGTTTCTGCTCTGTAACTGGCCAAACTAATAGCCTCATGAATGTCTGTAGGTCTAAATGCTAAACATCAGTTTGATCACCGGAATAAGCCCAGATAAAAAAGAAGAAATAACGCATCATCTCTGAGAAGCATCGGTAGTGTGATTTGCAAGCTGCCCAAACCGAGAAAATACTCAATGACAGGGTAGATGTCATTTATTACTTCTCCAAAAACCCCTCCGATGCTTCAATGATTGTGAACCAAAACAAATTACCAAAGATTTGGTAAAGCGTCCCCAGACAATCAGTTGATGGTTCTTATATATCCATTGATACCTATCTCTAGTCATGCCCTCAATTTAGAACAAGACAAGGTTCATCCTGGATTTTATAGGCATCAAAGTATTGCTTTGCTTGGGAAACCCAACTTTCAGCTAACTGGCCGTCAAAACGGGCTAAGATCCATGGGTTTTGGTATCTCTATGAAGAGGGTAGAAAGGGTTTTGGTTTATAGCAAGGGTGGCTGTTGCAGTGGGTTCAACGACTGAGCGTAGGGGGGTGGAGAAATGTGTTGATAGAAGAATTTGTGTTGGTGGTATGGAAGAAAACTAAGGTTAGAGGTTGTTGGTCTTTTTCTTTGGGGGCTGGATGTTCTGATTCTGGGTCTAGAGGGTGGAAATTTGGGAGATAATCTTTTTGAAGTGTAGAGTTAATTGACTCAAAAGTTTTAGTGTGAGAATCAATGGTTTCTTGCAGCCGCTTGACGGCCTTGTCCATTGTGCGCAGACGTGTGTTGGGAGCACCATCACCCTTGGTAGGGGAGGTTCAATGAAAGCACCAAATGGAACGATTCAGAATTATATTCATCTGACAAGGGATAAATTACATGGTAGCAGTTCTCAACTTTAGGGAAAACAGAGCAAAAGATAGACAACATTTTAGCTAAGAAAATAAAGATGGAAGTATACCCAGTGAAATCCCACAAGTGAGGTTTGGGCAGGGTAGAAAAGGGTTGCAGGTTGTTAACATTTTAGCTAAGAAAATAAAGATGGAAGTATATCCATGCCCTATTCTAGAGCTCCTGTGTTATTATATAGGAGGATCTTGATCTGGATCTTTATTGATGGCTGGTGCAATATGTGAAGCAGTATTTGGCAGGGGGTAAGTGGGTTTCTTGGCCTTTGGGCCACATACTTATCCAGGTGTTTTGGGGACTGTTTGACCCTGTTGCTGCGCCTCAGTGTACCCAAGTGATCCTGCAGGTTTGTTAAATAATGTGATTGTTAAAATTGTCCATGTAGATGTGAAATAAACCTTTACATTTGGATTTCAAAAAGTAATGATCAATTATGGAGGCATGACATTTTCTTTTTCCTATAAAAAATTCTTCGATTGTCTCTGTGGATTCCTTTTGCTGTGACATTGTCAGTTTTGAAGTTTTTTTGGATAGTTGACTTATCCTTAAGATATACTCCCCTTGCTCCAATAACTAGACTTAATTCGGCAAATTCTATTATCAGGAGTAAAATATTTGAATAAATTGTTTTAACTGATTTTTAAATGTAAGTTTAAAGTATTCTCTATGTTCACTTTTACTTTTCCGCTATTCTAAAAATAGGTTTTCATTTTTATTTATCACTTTTAACTTATCAAGAAAAGACAAATTTTTTTCCATATTTTACCCTTAGCATAAATACTTGTTTCCCAAATCATTTTTCAAGACCTAATACTAAACATAAATTAATAGAGATAGTGTGGTAAAATAGTAATGTCAATCATTGTTTTCCTAATGGGTGTGTCAAGTCCAACAATGACAAGTAAAACAGAACAGAGGGAGTAGTTGTTGCTTTGAGATGTGAAAGGTGGAATAATTAGTTGGTAAGATGTCAAGTGAAGTTTAAAATGTATAAAAATGTATTAGTTTTCGTAGTTTATATTAGTTTTAATTGTTGGGTCAAAAATGATTTCAATTTTACTGGGATGGAGGAGGAACTATGAAACTAATCTCTGAATTATCTCATTATTGGAAGCAAAAATAATACTTATTTGATGATCACAAATTAGTTCTCCCTCCATCCTATATTAGTTGTCAAGGTTACTAATAATGCTTGTCCCAATTTACTTGTCATTTACAAAATTAAGATGAAATTAACTTTTTTTATTTCATTTTACCCTTAGTGTTAAATGTTCTTGAAATAAGATTAGCTTAGTTTTGTTCTTAGATGTAGTGCAATTTATTGGAGACTGATCAAGTGTAAAGTAGTAAAAAATACTACTTTTTGTTTATGATTTCTTGAGGAAAATGTGACGATTAATATTGGGACAGAGGGAGAATTGTCCTCGTGTTCAACAAACAACCAATTTATGTTCCATGGTTAGACCAAGCTGCAGTATAATCTACTTGCATAAATGAGCATAGTGACTAAGATTTCCTCGGTTTGTCTTCAATCTTCCAAGACTAAGTGGAAGTTGTTTGGGGAATTTTCTCAAAATCATCAAGAGCCCCGTATTCAGTTTCTCCTAAATCTTTATTTTTCATTGCTTTGGTTATAGTCACCGTCTTCGTATAAATTGAGGTCCTAAAAAAGTGTGTTACGGCTGCTATATTTTGACATGCCTACTACTGTGTTTCCAGTCTAAATCTTCCATACATCAAATTTGCAGGGATGTGAAGGCACTTATTGTTGAAATGCTTCAGGCTGCCAGGACTTAGGCTCATTAACTAACCATTATAATTTCCCATTCCAGCTTCATATTGGTGTGGTGTTCTATATCATGTAAATATTAAACACAGCTCTGTGGAATGCTTGTTTCACAATGAGATCTCAAGATTGCTAAGCTATATAAAAAATCTGATAGCAAACCTGCAATTTTAGTGATCATGATCTGGCTCTGGTGACGTTTCCCTAATTCCCCCTTGATAATACACTGTAATGTTTGCCTATATTACGTGTCGTAAGCAGTGCAATTGCAATGATGGTGATGTGATTGAAGTTTAAGACATCTCGATTGTACCTTTGATGTGCAATCGTGTGTAGTAAATGTTTGAGTTGACCGTAGTCGCACTTTCTGTATAATTGCATAGGCTAGGTTGCGATTGCAAAGGGTAAAATGTTATCAGTGCTGCATTCACGCCCAAGTCAATGTAATCACAATGGAAGACTTGTAGCTACATAAATAATGGAGAATGAAAACTAACAACCAACGTTGAAGTGGTTTGGATATAAAATGAGCAGATTCAACCGACAATTCAAGGTAATGATTTCCTACACTAATATTGAGATTATACTCATATTTGGTGTAATTACAACTATGAAATACTGAGTTTTCATAGTTAGAATTGTGTAATTTAGACCTAGGGTCAAATGGAGAAAGTTGAGCAATTGGCCTAGCAATATAAGTTAAAATTAGATTTTGCACATAGATATATACTTAGCTACTTATGGTATAGATATGCATAATCTACTTTTGCACGCTCTTATCCATTAAAATACTCTTAAGAAACACGATTCACAAAAGAAATAAGGTTGGAAACTTTGGAATCTAACTTAAGTAAGCTTACATGCCCTTTAACTTATATGTTATCAAAGTATTACCTGATTAAATGTCGCATGTTGACATCAAATTTTGGCCTGATATTTTTGAAATTCATGCCTTTAAATATTTTATTCATTAAATAGTTTAAAATACACGTTTTGCAATTTTTGTGCAATTTATCGATAATTATCTTTATTTTTGAATAGTTGGGATATTTGTCTGTTAATTTTGATTTCGTTATTTTTTTATTATAATCAGTTGAATATATTGTGAATATTGTGTCGGTTTAATTAAATCCTACACGAGCTAAGGTTGTGTGTTATATTAAAATCAAAGACATTTGTGTAAAATAAATGAATGACATTCTAAAAACTACACAACATGTGATTAATAAAACATCGAAGTAAAAAGTACCTGGGCCGAGTCAAATGCAGAAAGCATATCAAAGTTATGCACTCTATGCGATGAAGGACTATACATTGCATTTCCAAGGATAGTTTTCAAATACGGTATAACAACATCATAGTACTTCAAGAAGTGCATTCGTTAAAACATCACATACTAAGGCAACGGCAGGATTTCCAGATCACCAGTTCAAAGGATTATCACAATATATATCATCATATTATCTATATCTATATTATCTTAGAAGCATGAACTCCTAACTTGTCTATGAGTTCTGACTTTTTTTATAGGGTTGTGATTTTTCAATGAGTTATGACTTTCTAAAGAGTTGTGATTTTTTCAAATAGAAATGACTTTTTCAATAAATTGTGACTTTTTCAAAGATTTGTGACTTCTTGGAAAGGTCATGACTTTTCAATAAGAAACAAAAAAATCACTTGTTCATACTACTCTCTGTAGACTATAAATTAAGAGTGTACATGACCGAATTGGTTTGGATTTTTCAAATATCAAACCAAACCATTTATATAAAAATTTTAAATTTATAAATCAAACCAAACTAATAAAATTCAATTTTTTTCGGGTTTTTCAATCACGGGTTGATTGGATTTTTTAAATACCAAATCAAACCATCGTGTTGAATTTTTAAATTTATAAAATAATAAACCTTGAATTTTTTCTATTTTTTTATTTTTTTCGGTAAAGTTTGTATACAAATATATAATTAAGTTATGCTTCAAATATTTCTTTTAGTCCAACCAAAATACAATTATCTAAGCCGTTTGTTAAAAAAATACTAAATATGAGATGAGTATTGATGACACAAAAATATTCAATTAAAAATAATAATGAAATCATCATATAAAATAAATATTGTAAAGTCATAATGAAAATGACCATAATTTAAAAATACTAAATCATGCTAAAATAAGTTTATTAACATTAATAAATATGTAAGGAAAATTAAAATTAGATTATATTTTAACTATGTAAGCGAATGTAAAACTAAGAACAAATATTTCATATTATTGTCATTCTTAGTGTTAAATTGATTTTTTACATTAGTATTAATTTGATTTTGATTTAATTTTATTATAATTATCAACATCTATGAACTATAATCTTTATTGGACCATTCCAAATTATAAGTTTTAAACTTGAACTAATATATTAAAAGATAAAACTATGAAATAGAATAAAAATATTTTAAAAATACATCAAAGTAAATATTTTTATTTATAAAATAAATTTTAAAATAAAATATATAGTATCGGGTTGGTTTGGTCTCAGAGTTTTTTTTAGTTAAAACCAAGCCAACCCAAATATAGTCGGGTTTTTTTTCAATACCAAACCAAGTCAAAGCAAACCATTAGTCAGGTTTTTTTCCGGGTTGACTCGATTTGCGATTTGGTTCGATTTTCGGTTCAATTTTTGCACACCCATACTATAAATAGATGGGTTTCCTCTAATTTTCGACCATAATATTTTTTGAATCTTCTACTTTCTTCTTGTATTTTAATATTTTTTGTGTGATTTAATATCGTTGAGTAAGTTCAATGTTCAGCGCAATATGACGTACCAATGTTTTGATGAAGTAAATTATTCTATCGTGAGAAGGTATATTCTTTAACATCGAATACTTGAGAAAAATAATTCTAATGATAACATACTTATTATTTTGCTTAGATAGTATGTAATATTTCAATATATGAAGTTAACATTATGTAGTCTAAACTCATTTGTTTTTGTTAACAATTTCACTTGTGATGTATATATATGCTTCTAAATATCTTTTTCCAAAAATTATTAAACTTCTCAAGAGTTAGATAATTGTCACGATTTATTTTTTGATTCTCAAGATAAAAGAATGACTTTATTTATCAATGTTACTTATGTGATTTCAATTGTCATGAATTTGCTTCTAAATAGTAAACATTGCCTTTTTGTTTTATTAATTTACCATTTCTTAATATTTAAGTATTTCGACGAAATAACACCAATTGAAGTTTGTATTAGTTTAACTTTTATTGTAGTCTAAATTCGTCGAGCCCCAACTATTTTAAAAAAATAGTTCAAATATGAAACTGTTAAATAAGTGGTCAATTTTGAACCAAAGGTGGATGTCAAAGGTATTTTGAAGCCAATAGGTGGGTGAAAAGGGTATTTTGGAGTTAAAAGGTGGATGAAGGGTAATTATGTACCATTTTCAATACTTCAAGGGTATTTTAGGCCCTTTTCCGTAAAATTTATTAGAAATTCAACTATAATTCTTTAGTTGTAACATTATAAATTATCTTAGTTATTATTAATTATTGCAAATGTTATTCACACTCTTCTACACTCTTTAGTTATAATTATGAATTTTCATAATTATTGCATTAATTATTTCTATCTTTCATCCTTGCTTATATTAACTTTTTGACCAACAATTTTTCAAATTATCATACCTCCCTATATATGTGATTGCATAGTGTTGTTATTTTTCCTTGGACGAATCATGTTTGATTGAATAAATTGAAAATTGTTTACAAGTATATGAACTATATCTTTGTTGAGTGTAGGATGAACACATGATTATATATATGATTTAATTTTAACTTTTAGTTTTTCGGTACAAAAAAGGAAATCTTTCTCAGCCAATTTCTCACCCAACTACGGACAGTAAGATAACTTATAAAATACAAATTGCAAAAAATAGTTCAAAAAATAAAATGATGTTATTCTTCAGATGTTCATATAACATCTAAACAGATTAAGTGAAATACAAGTGTAAAGCACACCTGAATAGATGACAAGAAAAATACACAACAAATATATACATATACATTATTAAATTTAACTAGTTAAATTTTTCATTGACCTTCTCTATAGGTTCGTTGAATAAGAGATAATATGTGATGATTCACATTGAACATTCACAAAAGAATCTGCAATATTATTTTGTGCAAAACTTATTATTCAAATTTTCGCTTAAATTTTTTGAATTGAAAGTCATGTGCAACACGTGTTGAAAAACTAGCATCTATATATATCTATATCTATATCTATATCTATATTTATGTCTATCTATACTATCTTAAAAGAATGAACTCTTAAATTGAATGTTAAATTACTAAAATATCCCTAACTTATGTTTTGACTTTTTCGATGAGTTGTGACTTTTTTTGTAACACCCTGTATCTAGAACAGACCAAAAATCAGCTTTTCAGAAAAGTCAGCAGGTGCAATTGATGGTTACCATCGACGAGCCGTAGCCTGATCCACGGCGCATACTGCAAATCCGTCGTTTGTGACTAAAACTCTCCCAAAATGCAGCTCAGAAAATTTGACTAAATGTCAAACGACGGATGGACCTACGGTCCGTAGTCTGTGTCCGTTGATCAATACCCCATTTACCCACTTTCTGACAAGAACCATAATTGACCAGTACGGTCCGTAAGTATGGCCGTAGGTGGAAATTAGCAGACAATTAGGGGGAAAATGCATTTTGATCAACTTCAATTAATCATAAGTCTTAGCACAAAATGAATTAGGTGTCTCATGACCTATGAAATTATAGATAATTGAATTAGCTTTTCATAGCCACCGAGTTTGCTAAAATCAGACATCCGAGTAAAATTTTATGCCAGTTTTAGTAAAAGCCTGTGGAAAAGACCCAACCTAAGGACCCAAACGAAATACCGTCGATTGAATGATGGCCCATCAGTCCATGTCGTAGTTTGGTCCGATAACAATTAACTCAAATATTTTTTGGTCTTTTCCCACTTCATTTAAACCCTAAGATACGTCATTTTGACCCTAAATCATCAGATTTTAGTCAGTTTAAGCCTAGAAACATAACTAAAACTTACCTAAGTCAAATTATTAATCAAAAACTTAAAAAATTAGAAGTAAGAGAAGAGAAAAAGGTTAAGAACCCTAGTTCAAGAAGGCATCAAGGTTC